CTCTGTTGGTATGAGSACTACTCTTTCTCACAGAAGTTTGAAGGAGAAATAAACCATGATGAGACAGTATTTCATTGCAAGAACTGGCCAAATCCCAACTCAGCCAACATGCAGTCATATGATGCATTAACAAAATGGTTTTCTGTGAATGAATGTCATCCCGTCCATCCATTAATGGATAATTATGGTAAAATTATATAARTCGCCACATAATAGGCACAACCAGCTTTCCCTTTCCCCCCCTCCACCAGTGCTTTAAGGSACCCTCCTGCAGCACAAGAAACTTTCAGACTGAAATTTTATTAACTTAATTATATGCATCCTTTCCTTGTAGCCAGTCTGTTTTAAAAACCATGAACACATGCATTTTTGTTTTCTAATATTTKTTAAGTATGTAAGAAATTGGAATGGGTTAAAATTCCTCAGAGTACTGCACACCAACCAGTAAATTCCTATTCCTTACCAGCAGGCAAACAGGATATTCTGGCAGRTGAGGAGTTCTCAGGCACTAAAGACCTCAAGGGAAAAATCCATAATCCTCCACTCAAGCYGCTTTAAGTGCCCCCAAAGGATCACCTTTCTCTACTCTAAAATAAATGTATACCAAACCCAAATAAACAAGCATTCCAGGTGCATTAGTCTGCAGTCCCAATGTTTCACATTCTCACAGCAAAAAAATCATCTGTGTTGTGTAACAGCAATATCACCCAGCTGCTCAGCAGCACTGTCCATCAGTCTCTTACTATGGTTTTCATGAAGGTCAGACTTATCATGTGAATGGACAAACAGGAAAGCTGAAGCACAGAACACACATGTGGCTCATCTGCAGTCACCCTGCAAAGCCATCAGAAACCTAAAATCAGGTCACAAACCTGATCTTCAGTCAAGTGCTCTGTTCGTTTTTCTACGTTATCAATTACACATAAGTAGGACATAACAATTTTCGTAATAAAATGGAAAGGATATTGACATTCAGGGCCTTATTCTGCTCGTGCTTCACCCCACATCTCACAGATACTACAGCATAAAAGCATCCTGCCAAACCTTTGTGCCACTAGCCCAGCAAGTGACAGCAGAGCACTCCTAGTTTAAAAGGAAATTTATTTGGGCATAAATAAAAGCTACCATCAATTACAGGTCTCCTGTAGAGAAACCCAGCTATGTATACAAGCATGCATATGCATAAATTGGGAGAGAGGGAACTTAAAAAACCACACTCAGACACTTGTCTTTGGTATGAAGGTGTAAAAACTTCATCTAATAGGATGGTAAGATTTTAACCAGCTACAGCACACTAGAAAGTAAGGATCTGGGAATGTACCCATTTGATAGTTCAACACTGGAGCTATTAMAATGCAGGGAAATACCATTTCCAATCCCTGCTGTCAGCCAGAACATAACACATAAAACAGGCCCCATACATACGCTACATAAATATTCTTGACGTGAGTGTTAGTCTGACTACTGTGCTTTCAGTAAGTGTTTAAATTACTCTTATCCTGGTTGAAAGAGCTACTAAGAACATGGGAGATCATCAGTAGTTTTATCAGTACTTGCCTAGTGCTTATCAGCTCATACTGCAACGTTTCTTCAAAGATCATTAAGATAGGATTAACTGCTTCAGGAGAAATCTTACCTGATGAATGATGCTGCCTCGTATGCCAGAAATGAGAGCAGAACCTCTTTTTGCTGCTGTAGTAGCAGAAGCTATTTCTTCTGGGCAGAAACAGATTGTCTTCAGTCCCAGYGCAACAGACTGTAAAACTCTTACCTTCTCCCTTTAAATATTTTCCTCCTGTTTCATCAGGCAGCAGAAGTAATCATCTCTTTAAGTAGCAACAACTGACACCTATTTACTAGGTAATTGCTGCAGTTAAAGGGGATTAAGCACACCTTTTAGTCATAAGGTAAAATCACGCCCTCTCATTTGCTGGCTACCCAGACACACCTGGGAAGAGCTCAGGGGAGCAGAGGCCAGCCCGGCCTGGCAAATGGGGCCACCATGCTGGCTAGAGCCCCTCAGCCTTAGCAGCAGCCTGTGCCAAAATGAGACGCATGTCCCCATGCAATCACAGCAGTAACTGAGCCAGACACAAGGCCAGTGGTAACAGAGATGCAGAGAAGCCCTTAAGCATCTCTRTCCCACATAGCTGCGCTGGGCAGGGGCTCGGCAGACGGTGAGGGCAGCACCTGCTGCAGCCTCACGGCTCAGCCACCCGCCCTCAAGGGCAGTGGGAGCTCTGCTCGGTGGGAAATAACAGAGAAATGGCAAAGCAGCAAAGACCTGAGTGGAACAATGCCTGTTCAATGGGGCATACATGAAATGCTAAAAACAAGACATGAAATGTTAACAAGAGGTAGTATAGAAACAAGATAGGCTAACTCCATCTAATTTTTAATTTAAATGATGCTTACACTGCTAAACCTAACAGGTTCTGTGCCTCTGCAGGAGCATCCCAGCTAGGATACAAAATACGCTAGTTGACAAATAACTGAGCCACATGACTTGAGCCACTGAGACTTGAGATCAGCATGTTAACATCAGGCCAACTCAATGGTAAGATGGCTTCTCCCACAAGAAGTCTTAAAAAGTGGTGAGGAAAGCAAAGACCAGGAAACGAAGTAACAGCATAGATTTGCCAAGGATCAGGCTCTCAGGAACAAAAGCAGAATTTCCCTATTATCCCAGATCTGTCAGGGAAATGCCATGAAGCTCATTTTTCTAACAGGTTCTGTCATTCCTTTGTTTTCAATGCTAGCATTCTCCCCTCTGCCCTTTTAGGTATAGTACCACTTAACTTTTTAAACATTACATTTTTAAATGACACAATTTTCTGACACAGGGAAAAAACCCACCTCTGTCAATTGATACTTATTCCAGAARTACCAATTTCATATTGTACCATGGTTTAAAGAGAATAATGTGACACTCCAAACTTTACACTGTTTAAATGTTATTTTATTAAATATCTTCAGTTCAAGGTTCATTGTAACAAAGCTATGAAGGTTCTACCAACATTCAGACCAAACAAACAAACACTAGCTAACTTTAATTATTTCTATATCATGCAAAAATTCTGCATCAAATGCCTTCCATTTCCTGTTTAAAATGTGATATTTATAATATATATTATATAGATGCTTACATTAGCCCCATAAGAGAACATTAAGAATGCTAAAGGTGTACAGCTGTGTTTGATAATGGCCATACCAAGCTAAGGTTCTCATTAACTTAAAAGGAAACAAAACAAACAAAAAAAAATCCAAAAGAGTTTGTCTCCAAGACTGTGCAAAAACAAAAACCCAACAGTTCTGTTCTTCTAAAATTTTCTCTGAAAGATGCATATATTTAATACAGAGGGTTCTCTTTTTTAACTATTAATAATCATCAGGTAAAGAGACAAGGAAGATCAGACCAAAAGAAGGCATGCATAATGTTTTGTATTTATCTTTTTTAAATGGCATAATTGTAATCTGTTTGCTCTCTCTTTGTGACCTATTTTTTTTCTGAATGAAATATCAAGGCTTTTCACTTTTCCACTTCACTCACTGGCTTAGTGCTGTCTTAAAAATGTTTTGAAATAATAAAATCTAGTGTTTGCCCCTCTATGGGTTCAATCCCCTCACTCCTCCTCTGAGATAGTGGAGGGAGGAAGAAAAGGGTGTTTGCTCAAACAAACTTGGGAAGTGTGGATGGTCTTTTCCTTCATCAGGCATTAGCTGACATAATCCTGGTGAGGGATAGCATCTCTCTAACAGAGACAGCAGAGYGCTGCCTGCTGCAAAGTGACAGCTCCACTTTGTGCAGTAGCTTTTATTTTCTGAATTTTATTGAACAAGGATTTAAAATCCAAATTGTCTTTCTTCTGTAGTTTGCAAAAAGGTTGCCAGACACTTGGTACACTGTCAAGGCAATCATTTTAAYTCCCTCTAGAGACCCAAAAAATGATTAGGGGTAGATAAATTCAGGTAAAAGCCCATCCCAACTTCTGCAAGTGATGCCTTCCCTTGGTCAAGACAGATCCCATCAGGTCTGCTAGAAAGGCCATTTTCTTCTTGGGGCTAGGCTCCCTCCTTGGTAAGGTCAACAAAACACTTCCACGTTCCCCACGCAATGAAWAAAGGAACTGAACTCCTTTTGCAGCAAAGAAAAGAAAGGAAGATGAATTGGCCCAAAGGATGAACATCAGATCACSTGCTCATTCCCTTTCCCCTCTGCTTCATGAGGTATCCTCTAACACCCAGAGGCAACATGGGGGGGTGGCCTGGATTCCTTCAGCTACAGCTTTTGAAGTTCTGATCTGACAGTTTTCTGTGTTACAACATTACTGTAAAAAATAGAAAAATTACCCAAATAAACACTAGGAAACATGACACTTACAAACATCAGATGGGTTAGTGGTGGGGAGAAGCACCTGGCTGGGGCTGCTGGCTCCCACTGCTATTTTACTGGAGACCAACAAATCAAACAGGAGGCCAGGTAACCCCTTTAATTCTATGGGTGCATATATTTCAGTATAAAAAACACACGCTATTTATGCCTCATATAGGAGTGTATGTGCAAGTTTTCATGAAGAACATAACACTAAGTTTTTTGTCTGCTTCCTAAGGAACGCGTGTTCTGCAGCACTGTGGATCCCAACTACGCTACTAGAAAGGAAAAAATAATAGAAAATCCCATACGAGTACTCTCTTTCTCTAAAATCTCTGCTCTTAATGTAATGGTTTTGTTTTGTTAAATTAAATAAGCTGGCTTCAAAACTTCATGTTTGCCCAGGTAGTGGCTGTTTCTAAAACCAGTATCACTAAAGAGCGAGCTTCTATTCAAGTTATATTCACTTAAACCCATTTTTAATCACTACTTTCATCTTTAGTTTAAAACCAATATCCCATTTTGTTTTATTTCTTAAAAAAAAATTAATCACTACTTTCATCTTTAGTTTAAAACCAATATCCCATTTTGTTTTATTTCTTAAAAAAAAA